CAACTGTATGACAGAATAACCAACTAGCCCATTTGATAAAGAGCTCTACTTTACAAAGGAATGCCAGTTAATAAATGTAGAAGGAATGACAAAAGTGGAAAACATCATTTTGCAAAACCTGAAACCTAATGGCAGTATGGATTTAAGCAAGATTTCTGTGTTAGGCGAGTGTTTGATGGAGGACAAAACATTGCATAGGGCCAGAGCAACGCTATACTGATTCCTTTCTAATTGCGTATCAGTTATTTATTGCCAAGTAACAAACCATTCAAAAAGTCTAGTGGCTAAAAGCAGTAATCATTTATGATTCTTCATTCCTCTGTGGGTTAACTTGGCTGGGCTCTGTGTTCAGCTGGTGACTCACCTGGCACTGATTAATCTCCGAGGACCTCACTCACATGTCTGGCAGTCAACAGGGATGGCTGGATAGCTGAGGCCCTTCTCTACAGACTTTCCCAGGATGACGTAGGCTGGCTTTACTCACATGTCTGGGACCTCAGCTGGAACAGTTGGGGCACTCTCCATGAGGGGTCTCATGTTCCAGTAGGCTAGTCTGAGCTTCTTTACAAGACAATCTCTAGGTTTCAGCCACAGAGCAGGGACACCCATGGGTGCATATTTTCTAGGCCTCCGCTTGCACCATGTTCACTAGTATCCAGTTCATCAGAGAAAGTCACATAGCCACACCCAGATTCAGAGGGTGGAGAAATGGAATCAATCTCTAACTAGCAATCCAGTATAACTTTCTGCAGTGAGGGAAGTGTTCCATATCTGTGCTGTCCAAATGATAGCCACCAGCCACATGTGGCTATCGAGCAGTTCCAATTTAATGAACTGGAATGAATGAATTTAAGCATAAATTTAAATAGCCATGTCTCCATACTGGAGAGTGCAGTTCTTGATACAGAATCACCTATGGTATATTTTAGCCCAAAATCCTTAGCATGAATCCATCGTTCCTTTAGATCTAACTTCATGTTCAAAAGAGATAGAGGGGTATAGGAATCAGTTACATGGTACGACAAGGAAGCAACCAGATACATCTAGAAGGTGAGACATTCCACAGGAAAACTGGCTCTGTGTCTTCAACAAGCCAACGTCATAAAAAAAGGATCATAACAGATTGAAGAGACATAAGGGATATAAAAATCAGATAATGTTTCTTGATAGGATCCCTGTATAGGACCAAACAGTTGTAAGATGTTTTTTTAGCTTAATTAGGGAAATTAGAATATGGTTTAGCTATTCAATGACATAAGAAAATGTACTGAAATGGAAAGGTAAAGATCACTCATTAAAAAAATGTTAATTTTTAGAACAGTATGTAGAGTATAATCTCATGTTGGCAAAGAAAAATACATTCAAATAGGTGTGTGTATAAATGCAAATATATATACAAACATACTATCCAGAAGCACCCGCACTAAGATGTAAGACATGGTAATTCTGGGTGATGGGAAGGTGAAGTTTTGTTTACTTGTTTGCCTGAGTTTATGAATTTTTTTTGTAAATATAAAATGTGCTGCCCTTAGAGTAATAAAGGGGTTATTTTTTTTCTTATTTATTTATTTATTTATTTATTTATTTATTTATTTATTTATTTATTTTTATTGTTACGTTAATCCCCATACATTACATCATTAGTTTTAGATGAAGTGTTCCATGATTCATTGTTTGTGCACAACACCCAGTGCTCCATGCAGAATGTGCCCTCCTCAATACCCACCACCAGGCTAACCCATCCTCCCACCCCCCTCCCCTCTAGAACCCTGTTTGTTTTTCAGAGTCCATCGTCTCTCATGGTTCGTCCACCCCTCCGATTTCCAAAGGGGTTATTTTTAAAAAAGGTAAAGACACTACTAAGTGCCTAGGAGGTACCAAGATAAGCAGCCATTGTACAACATGTGTGTGTGTGCGCGCTGAGGAAATGCTTCATCATGATAACATTGCAAATATTTCCTGCAGACACGGGAAGACTCTAGGGCTCTGCAGCTGCTGGAAATGGCTTAGCTAATCTCAAGGATCTGGTAAATGGATCACTTCCCCCTGGCACCACAGAAACTTGAGCCATCAAGTTAGATTAGACATTCAGCATATCCCATTGACTAGCATGTTCTAGAGTGTTCTAGTATGAATCATTCATGTGGGCTTCTCATTATGTTGCTTGGTTTCCCTCAGAAATAATAGCCCCAGGGACCAAATGCCGTGTAACAGAGAAAGTGAATAAATTGATGCAGGCCCTGCCAGGTGTCAAACAAATAGGAATCTACCACAGGAAAAGTGCTCCATCCATGATTAATGACAATATTTTAAAGTTTTACCAGAAATTGATAATACTGTGCTTTCTTTTCATGTGATTTTCCCTTTAGTGATAGGTACATATTTTAAAGTAGGTCTAATATTAGATATACATTAAACTTTTCTTATTGAAAATGTAATTGCTGAATAGAAAAATCTATAAGTGTCTCATTGTCACCTTTTATGCAATTATTCACCCCGGGTGTTCAACGTAGAAGTTTCAAGAGCATGATGTTTTTCACAGAAAGCATATTCAGGACTACTAAGTAAAAAGTGAATTGATGGCTGCCGATTTTTTTCTTTTACAACTTTTTACATAATTGTCAAATTGTCACTGCCATAATAAAAATCTAGATCGGCACTAGTTTGTTTTGGAATTACATGACTATCTTTTAAAATAAACATGTATTATCATTTCTGAGTTACAAGCGCATTTGGGTAGCTAAATCTTTCTAGCAGTCAACTGAATAATTAAATAGCAAGGCAACAGCTTTTATTATCCCCCAAATCTGCACTTGAACACTTGCGATGGAACAAATGGATACATTTCTCTTTGGGACCCATTAAGGAGAAAGGAGAATTTTAAAACTCTTACAGTCTAGCAAACAGCAGTTGTTCAAGTGTTGAGTTCTATCAAGTAAAACTTAGCAAAATCAAATTCTCTTCGCATTTGTATACTTTATGTCTTTGTTGAAATTACTTATTCTGAGACACAATAGGCTGTCACACCTGTCCCCTAAATTTCTAAAGCATTAAGTCATTGCTCTACCGTCTAACTTCCCTTAGTGCCATATGCATTTTCCTTTAAATTTGGGAGTAAACACAAGTTTTAACAAGTTCACAGAATCATCTCCTTTTCTTTCTTTTTTTTTTATTTATTTATTTGACAGAGATAGAGAGAGAGAACAAGTAGGCAGAGAGGCAGGCAGAGGGAGAGGGAGAAGCAGGCTCCCCGCCGAGCAGGGAGCCCGATGCGGGGCTCGATCCCAGGACCCTGAGATCATGACCTGAGCCGAAGGCAGACGCTTAACCGACTGAGCCACCCAGGCACCCCAATCATCTCCTTTTCTACAGAGCGTCCTACTGCCAGCATTGCTATCAAGTCCCTGAGAACGCTAGTGTTTCTTTATAGTTAATTTGCAAATGATACACAATATGATGCCTTGGTTACAGATAAGGAATGATGATGATTTTGTAGGATTTTGCCCTTCACCTTTCTAGTTACACAGAGCCCTCTCAAATTGCTAGTGCAGGGATCTATCCACAATGTTTATTGAGCAGGGTTGTTTCCATATTATTTCATCTAAATGAGGAGAGTGAAGGATATCACAGGAGGAGAAATGCAAAGCCTTCGGAGCTGGAAAGTATAGGTTGCATATATTCATTTTTTTATATATAAAGAGTGCTTGCAATATGCTAAGCATCATGCTAGGTGTTAGGGATACGTGGGTGAACAATATAGGCTCTCATGTACTTTACACCCTACTGGGAGTAGCAGATATTAAAAATGTAATTAATCAATTAATGAACTATAATCAGGAGAAGTGGTATGAAGGAGAAAACAGATACAACAGGGCACTGACCTTTAGGGTTTAGGGATTGGAGCCTGGGTAAAGGGAAATCAGAAAAAGCTTAACTAAATGCCATTCAAAATGAAGGAAGGAGGAGGAGTTACTAAGTGAAGAAGAGAAAAGTATTACAGACAAGAGGAACTAGCACATGCAAAGGCCCTGAGGTAGAAGGGCATGACAAATTTCACAAACACAATTCAACTGGGTAAATGTGAAGATCTCATTAGCTTTATTAAATAATTCATGAGTTGGGTGGCATCCCATCTAGCAGGCAGAGAGATGCTCAGAAGAGCTGTATGAAATGGGCAGTGTTTATAGGCAGGAGGGTGAGACAAGGAAGTTATTAGCAAAAGAAAAAAAAAGATTGCTTCAGGCAAAGTCACCTTCCTGTAAGGGGAAGGGCAGGGGTCTTATTAGGTGGATTACCTCATCTTTGTCAGGGGCGAGAGGGCCCATGTGATACCTTACTGCATTGGTTCTGACCAGAAGATTCCTGACTAAATGGTTAAGACTACATTTATGGGGGAGGTTGAAACTATGATTAGGTTAGGGATTAAGCCCCTATTTGGTGATCTGGCCTAGCATAAATGAGTCCATTTGGGGCCTGTGGTGTGTGTGGTTTGTTGTTATTGTTTTTAATAGGTTTAAGGATCAAAAGAAGACAAACAGGGCCAACATACAGAGAACAAAGGGAGAATGGCGTGGTATGGCCGGAAGGGGCAGAGGCCAGGGAGATGATACAGATCACACAAAAGGCATCAAGTAGATTTGATTACCTGGGTTAAAGTTGGGTAAAAAGGAAAGATTGTGCCAAATAGTTTGGCTTTAATATAATTAGCAACAGTGCCCCACTTGAGCAAGAGGGAAAAAAAAAAACTTTCTGTTCCTGGTGTTGGAACAGTAGTGCATGGCCAAGGGGGCATCAGTGTGGAACTAGAGACAGGGCTTCCAGCTCAGAGGATGCACAGAGCTCTGCCCAAGGGGCTCGGGAGGGAAAAAGGAAGTGTGGAGCTGAGATTGAGTAGGGAGGTAAGAACCCATACGCTGTGATGAGAGAGTAGATGAGAAGAGTGAGAGAGAGCTGGAAATAAGGCTGAGAATATGAGCCTCTTGCCAATGGCATTGACTCACCGCTCCCTGATGGCAGAGTGTGAGCACGTGTTCCAGCTCCTTGGGGCATGTTCTGCCCTGTCCCCCAGGGGTCACCCATCTTTTATCAGCTTCCTTTCCTTCTCCATCTCACTTACCAGGTCCCTTACTTCCTGAAAATATATCCCAGATAAACCATTTAGTCTTACATTCCTGGTTCAGGAAACAAAAACTTAAGGCAGTATGAGGAGAGAAGAAAATGAAACACACACATACACACACACACACACACGTTTTCAGTTTCAAAGCTTTAGCCGAGTGAAATCTTGGGATACAGCTCTGGATGTCATTTCCACACACATGATTGCCAGCACAGGAGGCTGAGTTTCTTAAAAAGAAACACGGTTGGAAGATATTGGAGATAAACTTACGGTGGCAGAGGGTGCTGTTATAACTAGGAGTGATGAAGAAGTTTGGCTTTGTGGTCTTTATCACAGAAAGCTTTAAGAATGGCTCCTCAGAAATTTGGAAGAGAATTGACACCCTTGAGAAGATTGTGTAAGTACGGCACACGTGATATATGAAAAACTTGTGGGTTTGTGTGTAGTTTTTTTGGTCATTAGTTTGTGGAGTAATATGTTACTTCAGTAAGAGGTCATGCAATTTACTTAAGACAATAGTTAAAAAAAAAAAGACTCTAATTAGTGTGTACTGTATAAGATTCTTTTGAGGATACTTCTACATGTTATTTCCAAAGTTTTTTTCCCCAAATTATTGGCTTAGAAATTAAGCCAATAAGAAAAACGCTACATGTAATACTGCCTTAGACTCATCTAGCCCATTGTTTTTCCAAATATTTCACAACTATTTGCATCACTTTAATCACTTACCAAATATTACTTAGGAAATGCATTATTATCCTCATTGTCTGGAGGAGGAAATTGACACAGAGAAATGTGACTCACCTAGTTACGAGTTACTTTCACAATTAATGATGAAGCTAAGACCACAACCCAGAGCGCTTCACTTCTGGCATTTCTGTAGTTTGAATTTAATTAGAAATTAATATAATTTAATAGGCTTTTGCTGTGGTTGGATATTTGATGATGAATTATAAAGGAAGTGTTCCTGGAGCAAACATTTTGAAATGAAAGGGCAAATTAACATGGGCATGTTAACTGAATGAAAGGGCACGAGAGCTATGTAGACAATGTAGTACAATGTCTGTATTATAGATTTGTCTTTTCTTATATTTCCCATGGTCCAGTAATAGGGAAAGGTCCCACAAAGTGAAGGACTTACCTAACCACAGGATCAAGAGTTCAGTGGGAGACACCATTCTAAACAATTTGGTCTAATGGAGTTCATGCTTATTTTTAAAGATGTTATTGTCAGTGAATTCACGTGACTTCGCTCCTTGTTAAGTTACAGGTAGAGACTGCACCAGGTGGGGTCGTCACACAAAGGAAACTTTATTTGCAGCAAAAAAGGGAGATCAAGGAGGATAATTCCAAAAGCTGGGACTCCCCGAGCAAGGGTGAGTGGGTCCCTTTTATTTTGGGGTGGGGTGAATATAAAGAAAGGGGAGGTTTATCATTGCCCGGAGATGTGGGTATAAGGTTGCGTGCATGTGCATAGGAAACATTCCTATACATGCATCATACGTTATGTTAATGAGATGAGGTTTGTGCTCCCCCTTGGGCAGAGATTTTAACATTACAATGAGGTGGAGGTAACTGTCTGACACTCCGTGGTCCATCTCTCAGGTTGGAGTCAGTGGTCAAGCTCAAACTGGTCTAGGCTGGCTGGAGCTCTTCCCATGATTTGCCTCTAGAAGATAAGGTTAGGGGCGCCTGGGTGGCTCAAGCATCCAACTCTTGGTTTCAGCTCAGGTCATGTTCTCAGGCTTGTGGGATCAAACCCTGTGTCAGGCCCCATGCTCAGTGGGGAGTCTGCTTGAGATTCTCTCTCTTTCTCCCTCTGCCCCTCCCCTTGCTTGTGTGTATGCTCTCTCTCTCTCTCTCTCTCTCTCAAATAAATCATTCAAAATAAATAAACAAATACATAAAATAAAAGGTTAACATTCCTGTGAAGGAGAAGGGGGTTGGTCAGTGGGGGTCTTGCTGGTGACATTATTAAACCTAAATTAGTCAATCTGAAAACAGTATTTTCCAGGGTTTTTTTCCTCTTTCTCATCTTTTGTTGGACAGAGGAGGTTTTTACTTGGGCTCTTGAACCATCAGACATGATCTTGGGCAAGGAATTTTCACACTGCCAGCCTCAGTTTTCCCATCTGGGAAATAAGAATCAGAAAAGGCCCTACCATAAAGGTTTCTGATAAGGATTAAAGAAGACAAGGCAAGCGAAGGACTCAGTACCTAGTTGGCACTCAATGGATGTTAGCTCTCATCATCATTAGTAAACATCCAAGTCAGTGCCTGAAACCGATAGATTAAGGGATCCAAAGCTTGATGTCTGATTCTGCCCGGTTGACATTCTTTCTAAATCCCTTCTTCATTTCCGGGCAGCTTTTAGTTTATCTGAAATCTAAGGGAGAACAAAGGCCTAGAGATGCACCTTGAAGGCCTGACATGTATCCGAGGGGCTTCTACATGTGCAATCCAGCTCACTTTGTCTAAAGGAAAGCTTATAGAAAAAGGAACCAAAAGGAAAAGTGTTCCTGTTTCTCCTTACTTCAGTGAAGATGGTAGTTCCAGTTGGCAAGTAACACCCACGGAGCCGCTCAGCAAGGGTTACAGCTCATGAAAAAATGAAAAAGAACTCAAATTCAAACATTAATGGGGTGATTTTGACTTGGTATTCTTTCAAACATGTAACCACTTTTCTCTTTTTAAATTCAAGGCCAGTCACTTTATTCCCTTAGGCCTTCATTTAGAAATGAGTGGCTCATTAATTATCTTCTTGACTGCAGAATAGATGTTTCATTTCATTTTCACATCGGATGAGTCCACTAAAAGGGGTCTCATTGCTAAAAATCATGGATCACAATTTCTTCTTTGTTTCTCCTCTGTTTGGAATAGCTCAGACCTACCCCCTGCAAAGAAGCATACGGATTCTTCCCAATTGCATTTAGTGTGTTTGTTAATTCTCATAAATTTGGAACCCCGAGATGTTGGGATATAATTTCGTCAGAAATCTCATCTACATCTCTTGCCATAACAGCATGCCAGGATAATCAGACATTGGAGACCCGTCAGATAAAATGGTTTATGAAAAGTATAGATTCCAATCTTTTTTCCACACAGATATTTACAATTGGAAACAACTTTCCAAATAAAAGAAATATGAAATCTGCCTTTGTTCTTGGGTATCAGAGGAAAGCAGATTGTAAATATTCTCTGAACGAACAAAGTTTCAGGCACATTTGTTTGATATGCATATTACACAGACCTGAGCTTTCTCTCTTTTTACTTAGTTTCCAGACTTTCAAAGCTAATTCATCGGGTTGTTTTTTTTAAAAGCTAATTAACAGGATGGCCTCCATGAATGCTGCAAAAGACAGGAAAGAAGTCTCACCTCCCCTCCGCTTCTTACAGCCAACATTAGTTTTTCTGACTTCCAGCATCCTCTTTTAAATGAGGAAATGACGCATTCTCTATGTTAGAGGCATGATTGTTTACCATTTATTTCATTTCTCCCTAAAATGCTTTTGCTCCCTTTTCTATAATCACTATGGGTTTTTAAAGGTCTTTTCTAAACAGAATTGGCGTACTTTTTCTCCTCACTTGAACAAAAACTGTGTCTTCAGCTGTCTTTTGCTTTCTTTTCTTTCCTTTCAAGAGAACCAGTTAAACATTAGCAGCCAAAGGAGAATAATTTATTTACAGGGTATACACCTTTGAATGAATTACCCCCAAATCCCACACAATTATAAAACAGAAACACTTAAATGAGTTCAGTACAATAAAACAGAGTGAACCAATCAAAAAGAATATCCAGACAATGGGTCTAGATTGACTGTTTAAAGTGTGGACCAGGAAACCCATTTCTAAATGGCTTTTGAATATTCAATTAGACAAACCAGTGGTGGTCCAGGGAAGCTTCCCATTACAGGGGTGGGTAATTTTTCAATGGATGATAGATTTGAGGATATTTTTGCATTTGTAAGGAAGCACTCCTTAAAAAAACACAAAATCCCCCCAATGATGAACAAAGAACTCTGGAGAAAATAGAATCTGATTGGGTGTGACCTTGGAAACATGGAATAAATTGAGGACTGATGGAATGAACAAAGAATGGGAATGAAAATAGCAAGACACACCCAAGTCCCAACTGTTATCCCCTAAATTTTCACTCTCCCCATTGGAGGTCTCACTTTCGTCTCTGGGCCATCTGCGAATATCGGGCCAAATCTGCTTGTGTGGTGCCAGATCCCAATGTAGGGCCTCAGAGAAGAAAGGAAGAGGTAGCATAGACTATAGGACTAGAATTCTCCTCTGGGATTTATTTATTTTTTTAAAAAACATTTTATTTATTTGTTAGAGAGAGACAGAGATAGGGACAGAGAGCATGAGTGGGGAGGAAAGGGAGAAGCAGGCTCCCTGCTGAACAGAGAGCCCAAGGCAGGGCTCTATCCCAGGACCCTGGGACCATGACCGAGCAGAAGGCAAATGCTTAACTGACTGGGCCACCCAGGTACCCCTCTCCTCTGGGATTTAAAGACCCATTCTGCCATCACTGCCACACCACTGCCCAGGGCCAAGACACTCCCCAGTCTGGGTCTTAGCTTTCCCACTTGCGAGATGGAAATATTAGTACCCTCCTCATAGAGTGATGCAGGTAAAGCACTCTATAAACTCAGTACAAACATATTACCTCTGATCAATTCATCATAGCCACTCAACCAGCAGAAAGCCTGTGGGTGACTTGGATTTACAGGGTTAGGCAAAAGGAAGTTTGCTAATGTGTGAATACAAGAAATCCTCTTTGGTAATCACTGGAAGATGGTAGCGATGTGACAGAGTGGATAAAGTCAATGAGCTCAATTAATTAGCTTTGCCATATGGTAATAGTTCACGTAAAGGTTTTACATTTTAAAAAACAATATATAGATCAGTGGGAATTTTTCTTACCCCCTGCCCCAAGCAACCAACTAGACCAAGTTTTTTTGGTCATTTTCATTATAAAGGGCCTCGGTTCAACCTTTGTTGAATGTTTGTGTTGATACTAGAGGAAATTTCTTATGACTCTGGAAGTTCTGTTTCATGTTGTTTTCAGTCATTGAGTTTGGCTCTAGGACTGGTTTTTGGTTTCCCAGCCGCTTCCAGAATGACAATACCATCACTTAAAAGCGGCCCCTCCATGGAGGGTGTGCAGGGTTTTCTAAAACACTTAAATACAAGATGCCCAGTTTAATTTAAATTTCAGATCAAACAATGAATAATTTTTTAGCATAAGTATATCCCAAATGCTTTGTGGACCACACTCACACTGAAACATTATGAGTTGTTGATCTAAAATTCAAATTTAGGGGGGCGCCTGGGTGGCTCAGTTGGTTAAGCGACTGCCTTTGGCTCGGGTCATGATCCCGGAGTCCCAGGATCGAGTCCCACGTCAGGCTCCCTGCTCAGCAGGGAGTCTGCTTCTCCCTCTGACCCTCCTCCCTCTCATGCTCTCTGTCTCTCATTCTCTCTCTCGCAAATAAATAAAATCTTAAAAAAAAAAATTAAAATTAAAATTTAGGGGCACCTGGGTGGCTCAGTCGGTTGGGCTTCTGACTCTTGATTTTTGGCTCAGGTCATGATCTCAGGGTTGTGGGATTGGGCCCCATGTTGGGCTCCACACTCAGCAGGCAGTCTGCTTCTCTCCCTTCCTCTCCCTCTCCTACCCCTCCCCCTGCTCCTCATGCTTGCGTGCTCTCTCTCTCTCTCAAATAAATCTTTTTTTTTAAAGATTTTATTTATTCATTTCAGACACATTTATACAGACAGAGAGAGAGAGAGAGAGAGAGCATGAGCAGGGAGCGAGGCAGAGGGAGAGGGAGAAGCGGGCTCCAGGCTGAGCCAGGAGCCCGATGTGGGGCTTGATCCCAGGACCCTGGGATCATGACCTGAGCCAAAGGCAGACACTTAACCATCTGAGCCACCCAGGTGCCCCTCAAATAAATAAATCTTATAAAATAAAATAAAATTCAATTTTAACTGGGTGACCTGGATTTAGTCTGGAAGTCTTACCTCAGGAGTTGGGTGTGGCCTAGAGGGCACTTCTGTATCCTCAGGAAGTTTTATTCCCACCAGAGGCCCAAGCTGCGGGAAAGGGAGAGACCCATGTATTCCTGGAATGGGGACAGAACATGGCTGCCTCGGGGCGCCTGGGTGGCTCAGTCATTAAACGTCTGCCTTTATCTCAGGTCATGATCCCAGGGTCCTGGGATTGAGCCCCACATTGGGCTCCCTACTCAGCAGGAAGCCTGCTTCTCCCTCCCCCACTCCCCCTGCTTGTGTTCCCACTCTCTCTGTGTCTCTCTCTGTCAAATAAATAAAATCTTAAAAAAAAAAAAAAAAAAAGAAATAGAAC